TTTCTGACTCATTTGAGGTATCAACCTTCAAACTTGATCATTGCATGTTTAGATTTGATGTTGGGGTGTTTTATGCCACTTTTGGACTTCATTGTTGGGCTTCTTGCATCTTGATGATTTCAGACCATAAGAGCTGTCCTTTTGGGCTCTTAGAGGTACTAAAATTCATAAAAATCGGAGCTTGATGGTTAAGCCACAACCATGCAAGTGTTTGATGGTTATAAAGCTTATTAAAAGCACCAAAATCATGTTTTGACCCCAACCATGCATGCAAGCACATAAAGTTTGTGACTTTATGGATTAGGTGGTCTTAAAGGACTTGGATCTACATTTTGGACATGAAGACTTAATGGATTAAGTCACAAATTAAGTCCCAGGAAAGTTGGCCAGTACGCTAAGTGTACACCTTGGTACGCTGTGCGTACTGGGTCAACTTCCTGTTTGCGGTCATGACCAGCGTACGCTGGTCGTACGTGCCAGGTACGCCGCGTGTACGCATGCGGAGTGGCAACCTTGGGCTTTTTGGGCCTTAAAGGGTTGGGCCTGGGCTATTGGGCCATGTGGCCCACAGTGGAGTATAGTTCTGGGCCTGGGAATTTGGAATTAGAAGTATTGGGCCTTTTGGGCCATATTGGGCCACTCGAGATTATTCATTTTGAGCTATGGATTTATTGGACTTGTGAAAAGCCCATTTGAAGAGTTGGGCCAAATTTAGAAAATTAGGCCATTAGTGGGCCTTAGTGTGTTAATTGTGGGCTGGGAAAGATAAGATGGAAATAGGCATTGGGAATGGTCTAATTTAGACCAAAGGGGTAAAATGGTCATTTTACCCTAGGAAGTATTATAGATTTTGATGGAGTGTTGTTATGATTATAATAGCCGGGAGTCATTGGAGCAACTGTTAGAGATTACTTTTCGAGAGATTCGACACTCAACCTTACGAGGTGAGTTACCTTTCAGTAGAGGTGGGTCTAAGGCCACAATGTCGGCCCACTAGTAGGAGTTCTTTGTTAGACGATTGTCTTTGTGATAATTGTCTGGTATGCCACTATCTGATATGCTTTATGTGCTAGGATGCTATGATATATGTGTTAGTAGTAGTAGGGGTGAAATAGTCCCCGGTTACCGGTTGAAACATACCGAAGGGGTAGACAGTGCCCATCCATGCCTAGCAGTATGTTCATGATATGTTATTATATGGTAGTGGTAGGGGTGAAATAGTCCCCAGTTACCGGTTGAAAGATACCGAAGGGGATGTCAGCTCCCGGTTACCGGTTGAAAGATACCGAAGGGGAAGTCAACTCCCGGCTACCGGTTGAAAGATACCGAAGGGAAGTCCAGCTTCCGGTTATACCGGTCAGATATTGGTTGAAAGATACCGAGGGATATGCAGTATACGTTTATGGTATGTGGTATGATGGGGGGAACTCACTAAGCTTCGTGCTTACAGTTTTCAGTTTTTTTTAGGTACCTCTTCAGCGAAGGGGAAGGAGCCGACACGGTAGCAACGCATCGCACGTATATGATTTCCACATTTTGAGATCCATGGGATTGTACTCTGACATTATTACTATTTTGCTGATATGGTTGAAACATATGACTATGGTTTTATGATTTGATATGATTCTATGATGTTTTTCAGTAAACAATTTTATAAATTACTTAATTAAAAATGAAATTTTTGGTTGTGAAAATTGGGATGTTACACCAAGGCCCGAAATCTATGTTTTTGCGCTAGATGTAGGTACGTGTTGTGTAGCACTTAACTAAGCATAGTGTAGACCAACATGTAGAGTACATTTTCTACGTGTAACGTAAACCGCAAATCTCAATTTCCTTTAACTATTTCAAATAAGCTAGAGATGAACATACTCGAAAACTCGATGTTATAGCTTCTACCTATCTTCGAGTCAACAAGAGGGAGTATGAAACCCCATTTTATATAAGAATTCATATTAGGCATGTCAATACTTGAGTGACAACTATGTTAGTAAGCAAATGTAATAACTGGTAGGTGTTGATCCCAATTACTTCCACAATCTATCACATGTGATCACATAATATATTCCACAGATTGATTTGTTCGCTCACTCCGTCCTTCGGTATGGGGGTGATATACGATACTCAAGTTGAAGTGTTTACCCTACTCTTATGGTTAAGAGCTCCAAAATCTTGAGGCAAAACGAGTATCTCGATCCAACATGATTGTCAAAGGCACTTCATGGATTTTAACCACCTTCGCCAACATATACCTTAGCAAGTTTCTCCAATATGACACTCTTAATTTGTCGAAAATAACCTAATTGGCATCATGACTTCTATTCGTTCTTCGAAACTTCATAATAAGATCCATGTCGATGGCATCCTATTTTCCGATGAAATCTTGTAAGGATTGTAGGCTACAATATGTGATATAATACTTAACCTTAACTTGGGAACAATACACACTCTTTGCAACAAACTTAGCAGTTTTTACTTTCATCTTTAGATACCAATATCTTTTTGTAAATTACGATAAAGTTTGGTACAACCCACATGGATAATGCACTTCGATTTAGGAGTTTTCTTCAAATATTACCTTCGGTTTCCACCGAACTTAGGGAAACAAATTCGGGTTTTAAAGGTTTTCAAACCATGTCTATCTCCTTCAAATATCAAGTTCTTTCCAAAATCCTTTTTTCTTGTCTTGCTCTTAATTTATTCAAGACCACATATTTTGTTTATTTAATTCTTTTAATGAGATTCTTCAATCAATTCGCATCGATCTTGCACACATTGGGTTTTCATGCTCTTTGAGACTTAGGGAATCCGCGACAACATTTGACTTACCGAAAATATGAAAATATCTCACAATCCTAATCTCTTGTCATTTCCACCCACCTTATTTTCTACATATTTAAGTTTTTTTAACATATATTGAAGGATTTTTAATACATATAAAGCTTAGATTTAGTACCATAAAATGTCTCTAGAATTATAAAGCAAACACATTGACAACCAACTATAGATCATGCACTTTATAATGGGTTTCTATAACTTTTGATTGGGATGAGTAGTTAGTATCAAATCTCGATCCCGTACCAAATTTAGACATATAGGATGGTATTTAGTACTCTAAATTTACAAAATTTTGGAATTCGGTACCAATGCTAGTACCGAAAACTGATACAATTTCCGGTAATATTAATTCAGTTCGGTACTCAGTATCGAATTTCCACCTATTTCAATACTCGGAATTCTCAGGTCCGTACTGGTTCCATACCATGCTCATTTCACTTTCAATTGCCTTGATACGTAGGTAATGGCTTTGACTCGTTAATACAAAACATTTATCGTAAAAAAACATTTAACGGTGCAACTTGTTGTCTGTTTGTTTTCTCAGTCGTTGTATTGTGACCACTAAATAAATTTAATTAATATTACAATGGCTTATTTTCATTTTTGATCGAGACAAAGTTCACCCATTTTCGGATGCCGCAATGGGTAAAGTGGCATTGCCATACGAAAAAAATCTTAAACCCTATTCCAAAAATGTTTCCCGTCTTACCATGAATATACACAAGACTAGTAAAAACAATACTTATTTATAGAAAGAACCTATGTCTCAAAATATATTATGTCATCGATTTCTTAAAATTTATGTATATATTTATGTTTTAATCAAATGCAAAAAAAAAAGGAAAAAAGGAAAAATCAAATTTTAAAATCCATCAATTGGTAAACAAATATTCTCTTCTTAAATTGATAAAAAAAAAAGGAGATATAAATCAAAATATGATTGCATATATTGATAAAAAAATCAGCTATAGTATAATACAAATTTATTAAAAAAAAGAAAAAAATCAAAAATGGTGTCACTTTATCCATATTCATTACATATCTCAACGCAAACGAAAAAGTTAAATAAATTAAAATGTCATTAACTTGGTTCACTGAAAAATTAGGGTGTGTTTAGGATTGTTTCTCAAATTGGCTTTTTGAAAAGGTCAAGAATTCATGATTTTTTGAAAAAACTTTTTTTTACTGTAAAATTAATATTTGCCAACACTTTTTTAACTATTTGATTTTTTGAAAATTAGATAAACTAATAATTCATTTATCAAACATCCACTTAGGTCATCTCCAATGCATTGAACTCTTAAGAGTTTAATGAATTGTCACATCAACATTCCACTGACTGTATCATTTTATCCATTAAACGTTACACTCCATTAAATTCTTAAAGTTTAATGAATTTCCACATCAACATTTAATTATATCTTTTTATAAATAATATTGTAAAACTATAATATTACATTAATTAGAAATTAAAAGTTATAAATTGTAAATTATTAATTAATGATTGTTGTATATGTTATTGTTTTAAAATATTTTTAAGATTTAAATATTTTTTTGTTTAGAATATTATAATATAAATTACCATGATGATTTAAATTATTCAATATAACATAAAGTAAATTACAAATATTATAAATAAGAAAATAATGACATATACATTGTATATATATATGTAGGGTGTAAAAGTTTTTTTGGTGAATTTAAATAAAAAAAAAATTGCATACCACCGTTTCAATGGGGAATAAACCCCACTTCATTGAACTCCACTCACAATCGTGGGTTTGAACTCCACTCACAATCCTGGGTTTAAGTATTGAACACCCTTTTTCCCGTTAAACTCACAATTAAATCGCCATTGGCGTGACCTTATAACCATGTATATGTAGGTGTGATCATTAAACTTGAGTACGTTTAGAAAATGAGAAGCCGAAGCTTTGGTGCAAATAAAAACATCCGGCCGCTAGTTTCTCTGTCATTGTTACCAAAACCAGCATCTTTCTTAATTATGTGTCAAGCAATGAGACCTTCCAAGTCATCATGCATGCCGCAACTTGGCTCAATCTTTCTACGACCACCTCCTTATGTGTCCATCTCTCATCCACCCTCCTCTTCTTTAAATTCCACTTCTTCCTAAGACTCCACCATCATCATCCACCACCATCATGGCTAACATCTCCATCCTCTCTCTTTCTCTAAGCTTCCTCTTAGTTTTCCATGGCTGCCTTGCTTTACGCCCTTTCCAGCAGCAGCAGCAGCAAAACCAGTGCCAGATTCAAAGAATCAATGCTCTTCAACCCAATGAACGAGTTCAAGCTGAAGCTGGGTGGACTGACTTCTTTGATTCCAGCAACCAGCAGTTCCTGTGTGCCGGAGTGGAGGTCATCCGCCACCATATCCAACCACAAGGGCTTCTTTTACCTTCTTACGTAAACACTCCCCTCATGGTCTACATTGTACAAGGTAATTAACTCGATCGGTTTAATTTCTAATATTTTATCTATACTTATGGGGATTTAATTTGTTTTTTTGTTTGTTCTAGGGAGGGGTTATCAAGGAACTATGTTACCTGGGTGTCCGGAGACATTCCAGTCATCGCAACAACTTCAGGAGGGAAGTGAATCGTTCCAAGATCGCCACCAGAAGATCCGCCATTTCCAGCAAGGTGATGTGGTGGTTTTCCCCGCCGGAGCTGCTCACTGGATGTACAACGACGGACAAGAGGAAGTTATTGCTGTTGCTTTGCTCGACTCCACTAACTCAGCAAACCAGCTTGACCAGTTCCACAGAGTACGTACGCATATATAATCTTAAAATAAAACCTACAACTCTGCCATTTTTTTTTATCGCTACAACAATATTAAATTAAACTTGGTTCATGCAGAGATTCTTCCTTGCTGGAAACCCACAACAAGGACAAGGACAACAACAACAACAAAAAGGAGGAAAAACATGGGGGAGGAGTCAGAAAGGACAGTCACAGGAGGAGGGTTCCGGCAACATTTTCCGTGGCTTCGATCTTGAAATGCTTGCAGAGGTATTCAATGTCGACCAAGAGACAGCTGAGAAACTTCAAAGTCCAGATGACACCAGAGGTCACATTGTGAAGGTGGAAAGAGGTCTTCAAGTTATCAGGCCACCAATGAAGAGTGAGCAACAAGAACAAAGAGGCCGTGGAGGTGCCGCTAATGGTTTCGAAGAGACCATTTGCTCAGCTAAGATGACACACAACATCGACGATCCTTCACGTGCAGATTTCTATAACCCACAAGCTGGATGGTGCAACAATCTCAACAGTTTCAAACTCCCCATCCTCCAAATGCTTCAACTCAGTGCCGAAAGGGGAGTTCTTCGCAGGGTTAGTATTTAGTAACTACTTATAATCACCAGATCATATATTTTTATCATTAATGATCTTATTCGTGATATACGAGTGCAGAATGCTATAGTGTCGCCACACTGGTTGATGAATGCACACAGTATAATCTACGTGACAAAGGGAGACATGGGGATGCAGATAGTGAACCACGAGGGACAAACAGTGTTCGACGACCAGATCCAGGAAGGGCAGCTAGTGGTGGTGCCACAGAACTTTGCGGTGGTGCAAAAGGCAGGCGAACAAGGGTGCCAATGGATAGCTTTCAGGACCAATGACAACGCCATGATTAACACCTTGGCTGGTCATACTTCTGCTCTAAGGGCTATGCCGGTGAATGTGATTGCAAACGCATACCAGATGACGCCGGAACAAGCATGGAGCTTGAAGTTTAACAGGAAGGAGACGGTGATGTTCAGCCCGACGTCGAGGTCTTCCGGGAGGTCTATTGCTGCTTAAGCTCATGGTGTAGAAGAGTGCGGCCGGTTGTATGTTTGTTTAGGGTTTCGATATGGAATAAGGAGAGATGTAAGGTGGTTTATAGTTTTTAAGGACTTAAATTCCATCCATCGATGTAAGAAAATAAAATAAAGAGTTTTTTTATGGTATTGAATAGATTATCATGTCACCTACGGTTATCGAGTTTATTTCCCAGTACAAGCTGGTCTTGAAAATCATTCCTAAAATCTTATTTTAATATTTAATGAATAGTTTTCTGTGAGAAACATATGAAAAAAATCTTGTTTTAAGAGCAACAAGATGAATTCTCTCGTTTTAGTATTTTACGAAAATATCAAATGCGGATCTACACTAAGTATTCATTTTTCAGAGTACATGTAATATAAAATATACTTTGAACATTATTTTTTTATTTTATTTTTTGGAAAATGACTTATAAGCCCAACGAAGTTTTCAAACCGTTCAAAAAATCCAATTATGTTTTGTCTGTTCAAGAAAATTCAATGAACTTAACCTTTTGTCTAAAAAACTCAACTAACTTACACTTTTGTTCACTTCTCATTTAGGGTCAACCGGCTAATGAAAGTGAATGACATGGCTTATGACATGTAATTAAATATCGGAAAATGACTTGTAAGACCAACGAAGTTTCAAAACCGTTCAAAAAACCCCAATCATGTTTTGTTTATTGAAAAAACCCAACGAATTTACGTTTTTGTTCAATTCTCATTAGAGGAAACCAGATTCATTAGGTATACAACTAGTTGACAAATGACATGGCATTATATTGAATCACATGGAATAAACAGATTAGAATTGCCCTTTATATATCGATTTAGGGCTTCGAGAAGAGAAACATGAACGACGTCTGTGTTCGATCTCTTGTAATAGCTACTTCTTATTCTTCCCCTCAATCATTGATGTCCAACTCAAGATCTACCAAGAAGATATTTGATGATGAAAACCCTTGTGGATGTGGACGCCCTTCTTGGATTTGGACATCTAGAACGGAGGATCATCCAGAGAAAAAAGTTCAGGGCTTGTTCGAACAGATGGGTAAGTGTAATTGAAAGCTTTATCATGTCCATATTCTATCTATTTGTTTGGTTTCTTATAAAAACAAAAACTTATTAAAATGGACATGATAAAGCTTTCAATTACACTTACCCATCTGTTCGAACAAGCCCTAAACATTATATCTGGATAATCCTCCAGTCTAGATGTCCAAATCCGAGAAGGGCATCTACATCCACAAGAGTTTGCATCATCAAATATCTTCTTTGTAGATCTTGAGTTGGACATCAACATTTGAGAGGAAGAAGAAGAAGTAGCTATTACATGAGATCGAACACAAACGTCGTTCGTTTGTCTCTTCTCCAAGCCCTAAATCCATATATAAACGACAATTCTAATTTGTTTATTCCATGTCATTAAATATAATGTCATGTCATTTGCCAACTAGTTGTATACCTAATGAATCTGGTTGCCTCTAATGAGAATTGAACAAAAGCCTAAGTTCGTTGGGTTTTTTCAACAAACAAAACATGATTGAAGTTTTTTGAACGGTTTTGAAACTTTGTTGGTCTAACAAGTCATTTTACGATATTTAATTACACGTCATAAGCCATGTCATTCGTTGACTTTCATTAGCAGGTAGACCCTAAATTAGAAGTGTAAGTTAGTTGGGCTTTTTTAGACAAAAGGTTATGGTCGTTGGGTTTTCTTGAACAGACAAAACATAATTGTGGTTTTTTGAACGGTTTGAAAACTTCGTTGGGCTTATAATTCATTTTCCCTTATTTTTTTTGTATTTACTGATATTTCAAAAAATTTACTTTTTTTGAAATATTATCATGTAAAAACATATCCAAAACAGGAAAGAGAATTTTAGTACCGACAATACCAAAACCAAAAAATGAATTTTGTAGGAGCCAACTACCGAACGAATAGGTACCCTTACATTTACTTTACGAGTCATATTTTAGTACTGATTTTTTGTATGCAACAACTAAGGGCATCCACAATGCATTGAACTCTATAGAGTTCAATGGATTGTCACATCATCTTCCTACATTCCATACAACTCTATTAGTTTTTTCCTACAATGCATTAAACTTTACAAATTTCAATAGAATGTTAAAAAATGTAACTTATAGTAAATATTTAAGAATTAAAAACTTTCCTTTTTTTCCCATTGAAGAGTTCAAAATCTATTGAATGCCAAGGTGGCATCTCACTATGGTAGAGTTTCATGATTTCATCCATTAAATGACATATAGGTTTGTCACCTCATTCAACTCTATGTAACATCCTGTTTCGGATCGTATGTGATTTAGGGTTCGTGAGATGCAACTCGGGCATAAGGAAGCCTCGGGGCTGCGACGAGTTGCTAGAAGCGTAGGGCTTCTCGTCACCTTTCCATGGATATGTGGTTCATTGAAAACGGAGTTATATCGAGGAAACTATGGAAGTTTGAAGTTTTGACAAGATATGTCCCTTCTTTGAGAAAGGTGGGAGTTGAGTACGGTGGGCGTACGTGTGTGTACGCTTAGCGTACTCATGTGCGTGACTTTTAAGCGGAGCCACCTAGTAAGCTGGGTGTACCAGAGGGTACGTTGGGCGTACTAGGCACAGAGTGAAAACCCTAAATGAGGGGGTGTTCCTATATAAAGAATAAGATGGCCTCATTCTTGGCCACCATCCTCAGACAATAAACCCTCTCAAACCCTAAATACTCGTCCGTTGAGCTTGTATGACCATTTGTGAGCTATTGAGTGATCTTGTGTTCCTTTGGAGTGAAGAAGGAGCCTTGAAGAAGAAGGAGTGGGATTCCAGGCTTTGGATCTGAGCTTATCTGAGTTGGAAGCTTCATGTTGAAGTATAAAGCTCAAAGCTTTTTCACTCTTTAGATTTGTGCATTATTTTAGTTCATTTTAGGTTTTTGGTCCCAAAGTTGGAAGCTTTATGAGATATTGAGCTCTAGAGGTTATTATCAGCTTCTTTGAGTGTCTTTAGTGGTGTGGAGTTACAAAAATCGAGAGTTGGACGTTTGAATCAACCTATGCATGAGATATGTGCATTTTGAGATGAGAATATGAGATTTTTAGGTGTTTGTGACTTTACCAGCCATGTAAAGGCTTAAAGTCACAGACTTTATGGAGTAAGAGCCTCTAGGGAGTCCAGATCTGTGATATGAGCTAAGGTCTTAACGGTTTAAGACCAAGAAAGTGAGAAAATTCATATTGGACGTACGCCGAGCGTAATCCTAGTACGCCCCGCGTACTGGGTTGGTGTCCCTATTCAGATTATGTGCATGCTTGTGTACGCTGAGCGTACCAAGGGAGGTACGCCCCGCGTAACCTCTTGATGCTCGAATGTTGCTTGCTTTGTGCTTTGTGGAACTCTTGATGATGGGAGTCAACTACCGAGTGAATATGACGATATTCAGGAGGTAGATGGTTGGCATCATGAGGGGTTCTTCATCAGCTGATGGCAGAGAAGTGTGAGAACCTAGGAAGAGCCTGGGGACTAACTTTAGTCAGAAGAGTACGCTGATAGAGGAGAGTATTCGCTGGATAGCGACCATGTATATCGGGATTGGTGATCAAGGAGGTTGAGCATCTACTTAGGAAATCTGGGACGATCCGTGTGGAAAGTATGGGTAGATGTGGCAGGTAGTATGGGCCCATACTACTGAAAGCAGAGGACCCGTACTCGAAACAGGGAGAATTATAAAGGTTCTAAGTAGCAGATTGAGAGGTGATAACATGGTTCGAGTACCATGATTCATAGCTGATTGAGAGGTGATAACATGGTTCGAGTACCATGATTCGTGGCAGATTGAGGGGTGATAACATGGTTCGAGTACCATGATTTGTGGCGGTTAGTGCTTCAGAGTTTACCAGTTATCCCGTTGTGATTGATTAGACTGAGAACAGATATGATAGAGTGTGGGGCCAGAGGGCCATGTCGAACGAGTTTCAATGGAGCATACCTTGAGAGGGAAATCGAGTTAGTTTCCGAGAGATTTTATTGGTGAGATGCCAGAAGGAGTCGCAAGACTCGGGGATGAGTAGAGATGATGCTTATTGGAGGATCGCGGTCTGAGTGAGCAATCGACCGATAGATGAGACGTCACCTTCTGTGACAAGAGTTGTGATGTCCCCGTTTCCTGGGAGAAGCAAAAGAGATAACGAGCTTCCGGTTTCAGAGTTTGGAGGTAAACCCCATGGGGTAGCATAGGGTTGCAACCTTTTCACCAGAGTACTTGGGCAGTATGTGTGCTGTGAGGTATTTCTTATACAATGAGAGAGTCATTAGTGGGACTAAGATGGAAGAGAACAAGGAGGTGCCTTATTGAGGGAGGCATACTTTTAGCAGCAGTTCCAGGTGATTAAGAGGAGTATATCGGGGCGGTGGCCCTCGTTGTCTATGTTGTGTATCGACTGTGAGATAGAGGTCTCTTGCTTTTATGATGATTCCCGCGATGGGAGGCTGGTCGAGGAATCAAAGACGAGGTGTGTGATAGTGCATTATTTCCAGATTGAGAGTCAGGACAAATTCGGAACAGTTGGGGTATCCGGCGATGTGTCGGTATGAGGCTTCGAGATGACTTGAGGCAGTCACGTCGGGAGGATTCTGAGATTTTGTCTGAGTTACAGGATATTTGGAGTTGCTTGGTTTCCATCGGGAAGATCATTGAGTGATTACGTGGTACGTTCCAAGAGTCAAGTGTGATGTACCTAGTGAAACAGTCTGTGGAGTAGATTGTTGGTATGCCAATTGGTGATGCTTCGAACCCTGAGTGGGGGAGAACTGAGTATTTTATTAAGAGGATCAAAGATTTGTTCAGGTGCGGTTAGAGAACTGATCATGGAGATCTGCAGTACAGAAATATGAGACTTGGGTCATTGGTGGATGAGACAAGGTGCAGAGTGAGATAATGCAACCGCAGTAAGTAGCCGTTGGCTAGGGACCTTATTGTGGTTGGGAGCTCTTCA